GGGTGGGAGACAAAATGCAGCTGCCCCACCACCGCCTGAGCTGCCTCCTGCCTTGCCAGAGGGACACACCAGCACCCCAAGGGTGTGGGTGGACCCTTCCATAACTCCCACACCCCTCAGGAAGAAGCATCCCTGATCATCTGTGGTGCCAAGAAGGGAAAAAAAAAAAAAAAAAAAAAAGCCTTTGCATTTGTAAAGAAACCTGTATGGAATTGCCTCAGGATGTGGGTAGAGCTTTGCCCCATTTCCTCCCCACCCTGCCAGATCCATCCCAGCCCAAGAAGGAGCTGACGGGTGCCCCAAGCATTTGCAGCCGGGGACATTCAGCACAAAGACATTCTCCTCCTTGCCCAGAGACAGGCAGGACTGGGACAACCCCAGCTGCCCCCTCTGCTGCTCCACTGCAGAGGAGATGGAGCAGCAGCGTTGGAAATTCTGCACACAGGACACATTTCTGCTTTTATGGACTGCAAAGTGCCCTGTCCTTAAGCTATCTCACTTAAGAACAATATAAGCTCTCAGCAATCAACTCCTCTGACAAACTCCTGCAGTCAGGCCCTTAAAAACAAAAACCTTGATTATATGAGTAGCTTCAGAATAAGTTGTGGACTAATAATATTTATATGGGTGCACTTAAAAATAATTGTGAACGAATATACCAATGAGTTTCCGCCTAACACGTCCGGATTCGTGAAGACAAGAGGGGAAAAAAGGCCTCAATACAAACAAGGGGGAAAAAAAAGTAATAAAGAATAAACCAGAGTAAACCCAATGAAATACTATAAACTTCTTCAAATAAACTTTTCATAAATTGTAGTGAAAAAGCTATACTCAAGAAACTGCCACTGCACTAGAGTTTTCCTGCTCCCTTCAAGTACACCCTAACGCTGTACAGACATGTTTCTAAATCGTTCCTAATTTCAACCTTACCTAAACTACATGCATATTAAAAGACAAAAGAGTTGTAAAAAAAAAAAATCATCTGGAAATCTGAAACTGGTTTTTGAGGGCTGGAAGAACAATTAGGAATAATTAAGATGTTTTTGTGGACATTTTGCAATGTATGTTCCCTTTAACCAGATGATTAGGTCCACCTGAGCTAATGAATGTTTTCTTTATAGCCTTCCCATCCATTTACATTGCCAGATCCGTAAAGGCTCCTGAAAACTCCCACTGAGCATCGCAGGGGCTGCCCCTCTGACTCTGCAAGCAGAATTTGGCCTGGCCAAGGTTTGTTTTTTGGGTCTTTTTGGAGAAGGCAGAGGTGCAAAGCACCCCGATCACACCTCATTAATCAGGCACCTCTGTGCACCAGCCTGACTTCTACCACCCAGATGCCGTTTTTGCAAGCCCATGGGTTTAAGCTTCCTGCACTTCTGTGATTCTCTGAGATACTGCAGAAACACCGAACAGACAGACATGGTCCTTCCAACCATCTTTTCCATACAAAAAGAGCCATAACTGGTGCAAAGCACCCCGATCACACCTCATTAATCAGGCACCTCTGTGCACCAGCCTGACTTCTACCACCCAGATGCCGTTTTTGCAAGCCCATGGGTTTAAGCTTCCTGCACTTCTGTGATTCTCTGAGATACTGCAGAAACACCGAACAGACAGACATGGTCCTTCCAACCATCTTTTCCATACAAAAAGAGCCATAACTGTAGTCAAAGCAGGCACAAAGCAGACAGGCTTGTGAGACACCTTAATAAAAAAAATTAAAAAAAGCAGTTTTTTGTTGTTGTTTTTGTGTTTGGTTTTTTTTTGTTTTGCCTTTTTTTTAACCTGGCCAATCTCGCATTCAGTTTTGAATAAAATGCAGGTTTGTCTGGGCCCGACAGCAGGAGCTCGCTGGCTCGAAAAACGGCCCCATCAGGATCGCAGGCAGGAGCTGGCAGAGCCCCTGCCTGAGAAACATGCAGGAGAGCTTCTCAGGGGCCCTTTGCTTCATATTCCTGGGAGCCTGATGCATTTTGTTTAAAAAAGTCTTAATTTTTTCTTCTTTTTTTTCCAAGGGGGTGAGAATCTGGAGAGACACTGGCTGCAGGGGTGGTGTGTCCAACCACTGCTGCACCAGCCCCGGGCACAGCACGTGCTGGGGGTGCACCCGGGATATTTCCAAGGTCGATGGCAAATTCTGACCAAGACCTAAATTCCTCAGATCTTTGATTTTCCACCCAAGGGATCCTTGGATAAGGTCAGCACGGAAGCGCGAACCACGCTGTGGTGTCTGCAGCAGCCTTGGAAGCACTTTCAAAGCACCTGGTGGTACGTGCGGTGCCTGTAAGGAGTTCGGCAATCAGCATCCCAGGAACTGGCTGGGAACGGCAATCTCCAGACAAATCTGGCAATTCAGCCCAAGGAAACATAAAAGATTTCTGCCCACAGGAATGCACCCCACCCCGATGAAGGAAATTACCGCCCTGCCAGCAACGCTGGAAGAAGGGCTGCGTTTCAGCCCCTCCGCTCCAGTTTGCTGTCTGGCACCGCTACCTTCAACTGAAATCCTTTTGTTTTGAATTGCTGTGCCTGGCCGTGGAGGGGGGCACTGGAGGAGATGGCAGGAGAGACAAACCACCCCACCTGCACCAGCTTCTGAGAGGAGGCGGCAGACGGCTCCCACCACTGCCAGCACAAACTGGCAGAGCTCACCTGGAGGCATCCTTCATCTCTTACATATTAAACCATTCCTCTAAAAACCTTTTCAATCACTTTTTTTTTTTTTAAAATGCATTACAATCCATCCTTGCTCGGTTCTCACTAGCATTGGCATTAACACGAATCAGAGATGTCTCAGCACTAAGCTCTCCCAAAATGCATGTGTTTTTGGGGCAGGTGATGCTCAAGCAACTTTGCACACATCTGGAAGGAACTGAATTTCAGAGCTGTCTCATAACAGCGCTGTGTTTATTTTAAATAATTATGCGGGCTTAGTATCTTATGTCTAAATCAATGGCTTCTACTTGATGAGAAATAAACACCATGAAAGAAATCTCTGCCTAATTAGATCCGCCTGCTGAGAAGCCTGTACAAACGCTGTTGTGTTTTGAACCATTCAGCAAAGGCGGACAGCAAATTTACATTAAGTAAATGTTCTGCAAGGGAAAACTTTCTGCATCAGCTCTTAGTATATGTTGAATTAAAATAAAAATATCATCTATATTACCCATTTCAAAACTCGTATACTCTAATAAAAACACTTCTGAGAACATAATGTATTCAAGACATCCAGCATTAGAATCAAAATTGTAATAGATGTGAAACAATACCATAGCAAGATTAGTTGTTCTCTTCAGACATTGTAGTTCATTTATCACCAGGGAGTCGCCCACAGAAACACAATGAAGTGGGAGAACGAGTCAAAAAGCCAGCAAGCTGCCGTCTCCAATTCCCATCCCTCCGAGGATCACCACATATTGGCTGAACGCAGAATAAACTCAACTCATACCATAATACACGCTCCACAAACAAGATGAGGCATTGTTTATCCCGCCAGTGAGAAGAATAGGGGGAGAGATAAAAGGGAGGTTTATTCTGTTTTGAAACGGCATACGAAGTCCTGGGACCTGTTTTTACGCTTTTCCTAATTGATTCAGAGGAGACTGGGGATGGGATCTTGGCATGCCACCCCATAGCAAGCGGGAGGCATTTCTCCAAGCAGGAGGCATCTCTCAGTATTAACTGCAGCTGAAGGAGAGTATGTTTGCAAAGCAGCAGGAGTGCAGAGTTAATCCCAGGTCTAAGCTGAAATGTGAACACGGGTTGCCAAACCCAGTCTTTTTTATGCCCTGTGAGACTTCAGGATTATAATCAACTGAGCCCAGCGTAACCTCCAGCCAGTGTGGAGCCCCTGCTTTTCTCTACAAGAAAACACACAACCAATTTTCATAAGTGACAAAAAATAATTCTCCATTTTCAGTCTATTACAGCGCTGGAGCAGAGTCGTCCCCTTGGCTCCCACCAGCTCACAGTCCCAGGAAAGGAGTAAAACACACGCCCGTGTCGCTAGAAGCCGCTTCCAAGGCAATACAAGCTCTCAGGAGCGACTTACAGCAACAGAACTCCTTTCTCCAAACCATCTCAGGCCAACCAGCAAAATATTAATAGCCGGACTCAAACCTCCCCAGCCAGCTTTACAGACAGAGCAGGTTCTCCTGGTCCAGCCCCGAGTTACGCACCGTCCTCTCCAACAACACACGTTCCCCTCACGGATGACTGACGGTACATGTGCAAGCGTTGGCAAGGCTGAGCGATATGGATCTGGAGATTGCTTCATCCAGGTCCGTCGTGCAAGTTGTTTCCTGTGACGAGTTCTCAGCCTTGGACTTCACGCAACAGTGTTGATCCAACAACAAAATCTTGGGATAACCACTGTGCTCCAAGGCTCATATTTAAGTCTTTTTGCCTAAAGACCTACTTGGATAAAGCTAAAAGATTTCACTTTTTGAGGAGGATGGTTATATTTGTTGGGATTTAACCGACATTGCATTAATGGGTGCAGTTAATTTTATAAGTATTATTTTATTATTTTTAAAATTTTATTTTTAATACAGTCTTGGCTCTTACCAGATGCCTATGAGGAACACATTAAACAAACGCTACTTCTGACAGCAACCATTAGCATTGCAGAAAAGACACAGGGAGCAGAATAAATCCCCCTGGTGTGAACCCAACCGGAGCACCGGCACCAATTCCAGTTCAAAGCCTCCCACCTGAAACTCAGCAGCTTTCCCCACTGTGGCCACTATCAGAGAGGTTTGAACACCTAGAGATCACTTATATCTTTAAAATTAGGAAAGGCCAGCTTGGTCTTCATTAGACTTGGACTCAGCCTTTCCCTTTTATTGAGTTAATCAGCTGCATGTATATTTAAACATCACTAACTGGAGTGGAGCACAGTAAGGATGCTCTTTCCCAGATGGCTAGGGATAAACACAACAGCACTTTTGATTCACAGTATAAACAGCAGCACAACACCAGCACATGGCAGTTGTGAGTTTGGCTCTATCCCGAAGAGCAAAGCAAGAAAATTCTGCTAAATCCAGCAAAACTAGCACCTCTGCTCCAAAAGACAGGCATAGTTTACATGCCTACTCTCCTCTCGGCTGCTGCTTCGGAAAGGACTGTGTTTGCAGACTCCTTGGAGATTCAGGCAAGCTACACTGACTCTTCTCTCACCGAAATATATTCTGATACATTCCTAAATATGAACAAAAAATAATACTGGTTAAAAGGAAACTTCTGCCTGCCTCATCACAGGCAGCAAGGCTATAATTACACTGAAATAAACACCAGAATTTCAACATTTTAAGTCCAAAACCAAGTCTTAACATGGCTGCCTCTCTAGACCCAGCATCTGCTTTCCCCCCCCCAAAAGAGATCTGATTCCAATTACTTCCATGGATCAAATCCGAAGTGTGCTTTATTTCAAACCCTGAGACACTTCTTGTACGAAGAAGCTGTTTGCATATTTAGCCACATGTTAAAAGTAGTCACGACTCAGGACAGGCTGTGGCTTAAGTCATTTTTGTCCCCTCCTATTACCACCGGACACAAATCCATGAGGACACTACAGCCATATCCATCCCCACTTTTTCAACCAGCTTATAGGCATTAAACTTTCCCTTCTGCATTTTGGCCCCTCTCTCCCACCCTCCCTTTTAATCTCTATATAACTATAATCACAATAAAGCAGACAACTATCATCATTCCCATTGTATCACTTCCACTGCAGAGGTGATCTTTGTTTTTTATTTTATTTTTCTTAAACACAACTCCTGCTGCGACGCCTCATAACTAACTGTAGCAGGGTGTGACTTGGTATCTGCGCCCTGGTGACCTTAAAAAATTTTTCTTAATCTGCCTGGTTGATGTTGTAAACTGAAAATCCCGCAAGCATAAAAACTGCTTGGCAAAGCAATGCTTCTAGCCAGGCAGGCTGCATTTTCTTGGAGAGCGTTGCTGGTCGCAGCTGGACGTCTTGGCCAGAGAATGATCCGTGTTTGGCCTGACCGGAAAATCTTGTAGATAGGGAAGTGCTGAAGAGCAAGAGGAGCTCCTTGATGCTCTCCTTTGACCATCAATGGCTGCGTTAACATTGACTTGGTTTTCTGGGGTTCCTTTTATGTCACTGCCATCTTAGACCAGGCACGGTAAGAGAGATCTGGAGCTAAGTGCTTTACTAAACAGAGCAAAGGAAGGATGTAAGGGTTCAACCTTGGACACACAGGTATATAAAAATATACCAAAAGAAACCAAGTTGTAGCCTGCTCTGGAAAAAGAGGAGATCTAATTGGGAGCTTGAAGGGGAATTACTCTTAACAAGGAAGTTTTGTTAAGCTGTGTTTTTTGGCACAAATACACAAAACAGTATCACTTTGCAAATGTAAAATTCCCTGGCAGGAAGCACACGCTTCATGTGAACTCCTGCCCAGATCATTCCCGGGGAAGAACAACAGCAAAACTCCAGGTCTCCATCTCCTCACAGCTTAGATATCCCAACAAAGATACGACCAGAAAGAAACCGCACATCCCCAAACCAACAGTGTGGCCCCTGCACGTGCAGTCCTGGCTCATCATCCCCAGTCAAGCGGGTTAAATAACTCTTCAAAGACTTGCAGGGCTCAGTCCCGTCACAGGGAGATGTCACAGAATGGTCAGGGTTGGAAGGGACCTCTGGAGATGCAGCTACAGGACTGGGCGAGCTTCCAACACACCGTGTGCTTGGGCTGTGTGATGGGCTTCCAAGGCTGCCAGCAGAAGAGCCTGTTTGGGCTGGCTACTGGGAGCTTTGAGGGGGGCAGCAGTGTGATATGGGACCCTCCGTCCTCGTTTAAACAACGAGAGAGGCTGTTGGCAGAGCTCGCTCTGCAGGAGACCTGCTGGGGAGCATGGGGGTGGAGAAAGAGAAGGACAACCTCCACTTTTTGGCATTTAGCCTCAATGCCCCCTTACAATTCACCGCATCATGGAAACAGAGTTGCCTAACCAGGCCTGCTGTTTCACGCAGTCCCCCTCGTATTTCACAGATATCAGTGGAGCCTTTTATCACTTCACACACAAAGAACACATACGAAAGCCAAGTGAAAACACTGCTCGAGCACAAGGCCTTTAGTTTGGGACTTGCAGAAACCCAATTGCTTCATACTTCTGTAGTGATTCCTGCAGGCAGCCAAAATTCCTCTCCAGACTGTCCTGAGACCCCCAAACTCAAGATGACGCACAAGCCAAAGCTCCCAAAGGGAGTTTCCACTTTCTATGCAAGAGGGAGAGTTTTACTGCCCCAGGGCCAGCAGAATTCTCCTCCTGCCTCCAACCCGTGGTCTTTTCCTCACTAGTCTAATAAGCAACAGCTTAAAAATAAGTATATTCTGACATCCAACACCATCCTGCCGCCCCCGGAAAAAAAATCAGATACAAAAAACTTACTTTTCTGGGCTTAACTTTGTCTTGTAAGTCGTACTGGCCTATTCCTTTGTAACTTATTCCAAGCCACCACGGGATTCCTTGTTTATCCTGAAAAATGGACATCTACATGAACCAAGAGGTACTTAAGAATTAAGCAATTCCAAGATTACAGCCCACTGCATTCTGTGACAAGTACGAGGAGGTACGGAACCAAGATTATTTTTTTTTTTTTGCAAACAAATTGATGTGAAGTGGATTGCTGGAGTGAATGTTGAAACTTTCTCCCCCTCACCTTCTCAGGCAGAGGCAAGAAACTAGGTAGTGGTTGTGCAAAGTGGACAAAAAAGCGACAGTGCTGCTGAAACAAGGGGGTGTTGCTCATTGCAGGAGTGGCTGTGAGGGGGGAAGGATATGGGACAGAAAAAAAAGAAAAGTGTGGCCAGTGACTGCATCCACTAAATTCAGGCACAGACAGCCATAGGAGGCGAGAACAGCACAAAACATCAGCTTCTCAGGTACCACGGTCACGGCCATGACTCAAAAGTAAGGAGACATCATCTCTGCTGAGCTCTTCTGCACAAAACACTTTGGCCCAGGCTCTGCTCTACAAATGGGAATAAATGGTGTACTCCCATCACTCTCCAAAAACACTTCTCCGCATTTCCCGACTCCAAGTACGCACCCACTAATCACCAGCCACTTAGAAGTACTCTCTTCTACATTGCATTTTTTTTCCCCCAATCTTGATTAGAAATGTCTCTGGGGAAACTATTAACTGTTTCAGATCTAGAAGTGATAGCCAGTTTAATTAAGCTGATATGAATTTAGCTCCTGATAGGATTACAGAAGGTTTTACAAAGATTGCTTTCTGTCTTCTTGTAGCACATAATGCTTTGCTGCTCTCTGGAAACAATTTTAAGAATATTGAATGGGGAAAAACCATAGAGGTTGAAAAATGGGGGGTTTAATTCTGACAGAAGAGTACTGAATCACCAAACTACTCCTATAGGAATGTAATCACACGTAATAAGCTAAGCAATCACATTATCTATGGGCATTTACTAACCTTTACTCCATAGTAATGAACTCCATATGTTGGCAAAGCTTCTACCACTTTCATGTACCTGTAGACAGATTTATAGTGTATCAGATGATTTTCTCTAGAGGGAATAATATCTATTAACATTTTTTTTTCACACATACATTCAGGACATGTCATTTATCATTTGCATATTTTGAAAGTCTTAATAATCGAAGGCCCATGTTCTCAGAAGAAAACTTAGCATCCTGGCTTGGGGAAAGACGTGATATTTTGGCCCAGCTAAAGCGAATGGAAAATCTCTTATACAACAAAACATTCAATCCCTTATCAGAAGGTCAGAGAACTGAAAGTAAAAATTCTGAACTGAACATGTGAGCCTTTTGGGAAATGCTGGCTGTAAAGACCTGCCTGTAATTATTCCATGATAATGCTTTGGTTACAATGGATAGGCTCCAAATGAAAGTCTTTATGCAGTTGTACAACTGTTTCATGAGGCAATTCAGACAACCACTGAACAGACAATTTTTTCCCTTGTTCCTATTGAAAGAAGCCCCCGAATTAACGAGACAGAGTTACAGGCATCAAAGTATGTGAGAAAAACTACAAGTTGCCTACATTGTGGAACCATGGCAATCATCTCAAACTTCTTGGTTCATAATACATCCCACTGCATTTGCCTGTAGGAAATACGTTAATATTAACGGTAAATTAAAAATAAAATTCCACAGGCTCTGTATGCATCTCATTCTTTTGAAAGCCAAATACTGAACATTTCAACAAACATGCCTTTGTTTTTTGGTGTTTTGTTTTTTTTTTTTTCCCCCCTACAGGACCTAAGGTAATACTTGCCCTTCAGAGTTTGGTGTGAAAATGAATTGATAGCAAGAAGGGCACACAGAGAAGAGTCTTCCAATAAAGTAAGGTCCAAATAATTTCTTTTAGATTTAAGGTTATGTGCCCTCATTCAGATACCTCAACTGGAAGCCTGTGAAATCTGAAACTTCAAATAATTTAACACTGAAATATAACTCAACAAAAAAAGAATCTGGCAGACACAAATGGTAAAGTTTGCAAGCAATAATGACTTAAACAGCCTGCATTGCCACTTCTCAACAGAAAAAGAAAAAAGAAAAAGCAAAAACATCATCCTCACAAATTAACAAGTGTCATACTCACTGAACAATGGCTTGTCCTCTGGTCAGACCTTTAATTTGTGTATAATGCTCAATTACTCTGTCCTCACTGCAAAACAAGCACAAAACCCAATTTAGAGGCTCAGTGACTTTTTTCACGTGTGACGGCATCTGTCGAAATTCAGACGCCTGCTCAGCATGCAGAGAAGTGTCCCTCTGTATGTTTCTCGCTCTGGTTTTACATCCTGTTTCTTACTGATTTCTTTCCCACCCTTCATTAAGCAGCGTGGAGCTGCCTGGCTGATCCCTGCCATCGCATGCCTCCTTCCAGACTAATTAAGGAATCATTTTGGATCAGCCTGCTCTGCTGCAGATGCTGCTGCTGCAGAATAATGGTACTAATTGTATGAATTCATTGTCACATTCTAAAGGACCAAAACTTCAAAGGATGGTTAATGTTCCATATGCAAGACAGAAGTAGTTAAACCAGAAATGTTTTCCTTGCAGTGTATTTTCCCCCGACATTTCATAGGTGAAGAAATAGAGATTTGTCAGCAATGACCTTTTTGCGTTTTCCTGTTATTTACTTCAACATTTTGTTTTAGTGGAATGCAAAATAAAATATGCATTTAAGTGTCAGACACTTGAAAGCAAAGAAAAACCCAGCAGTATGCGTTCTGAAAAAAACCCCAAACCAAAAAACAAACCAAATCATAAGCAAATACTGGTATACTTGAAAGTCCATCAGGTACACACAAAAAAATGAAACAAATGAGGGAGTCAAACTTTCACAAAGGGCATCAATTCCAAGGAAACGATACCCTTGATTCATCCCAAACGCTGTGTTCCTTTACAAGCAGGTTCAAGCCACAAAACTGGACCTGCCTCTCTGTTTCCAGCTTTTCCACCTTATTTTTCTCCCCACGACCCGTTGAGGAGAGCAGCTGGGTGGGCATCTGGCAGCCAGCCCAGGTCAGCCCACCACGGCGGCTCTGCTGCGTGCCAAGTTGAAGGAGGAGGGTGCTCTTTGCAAAGCCAAGGCTTAGCCGGAGTTCAGATTTCAGCTCCTTCTAACCCCTGGTCCCCACATATTCTCATCCAGCAGTTCCCGATCCAGCTATTTAGTTCGAGCAAACTTTCAACGAGGGATTGGCAGCGGATCTCGCGTAATTTATAACCTCCTGAAAACTTGAAATGCTTGAATACAAGCAATTAACTGCAAGTCTTATGTCACACACGCTGAAAACTTTCAGAAGAGCTTGCAAAACTGTTTAAAAGTCATCGTGTTGTTACCGTTCATAGCAATGATTTACATTTTAAAGTAAATAGCTCACCAGTAAGCGAGTGATGGATGCTCCTGCAGTGTCTTGGTAGGAAAGACAGGCAGTGTCTTCAAGTCTTTTCTAGTGTTTTCATCACTAAAAAACAAAAACGGCACAGCGTCACCGCTAGTGAATCATAGATGCCATCACCGGTTTCAGCAGAAGGAAAGGGCTGTATTTGCTACCCAAGAACATGGTACATTGCCCCATATCAGGCTGTCACAGCAACGTAACTCTATAGGCCCTCTCACATGACAGTGATGTATATGGTGTCATGCAGACTCATGTTGTAACTCATTATACAGACATGTGATTCTCAGGCCACTGCAGCCGGAGCACCGTATCAATATTTACTTTGCACACACTCACTCTATTTGCCAAGTGCAGAAAGAGCCCTGAAACAGCTGCAGAAGGAAAACCTCTACCCCAAAAGCAAGGCTTGTAATGCTAATTTTTGCTCTATCTTTAGCTAAAATCCTACCCCTAGACAATGCATTTCATAAAGCGGCACGGTATTTGTCAAATCTCAGAGTTTAACACTGATCTGATTCAAAACAAAGGGTTTCAGTTCATATACTTTAAAATATTTTCACTGAAAATAGCTTTCCTGGACAGAAAGTTCAAATGTATTTTCCATTCTACAGAAAGTTCAAATATTTTGGACTCCAGGCCCAGCCTGGAACAAAATAAAAAGGGTTGAAGTATGCGAGTGCAATTTGTCACAAAAAAACCCCCAGCAGAATATTTAAAAAACTATTTACAGGCATCAGTAAAATGGTTAATATTTTCTCCTTATATGCTCCATTAATTCATCAGCTGAAGCTCGCACGCCTCATTTCTGCAGGATTTCTACGTGCCTTTGCAGCAGCGCCAACGAGCACGAACATGACTTCTCTATGTACGGAATGCATCAGTCACGTCCATCAGCATCCGCCTCGACCTCTGCATCCAGGCTTTCCCTGAAGGTGTTTTCATGCTCCCAACCTTGGTTTTCATCAGATTCCACTATCGGAGATTTCATCTGAGCTATGTCGTGTCCCCCCCCGGTTCCTTCAAAATCAGCACCCCATGCATCAGTAGAGTGGAGAAATCTGCTCCGTGGGCACCACGGATCAACCCCTGCAGATGGAGGAGGCAGCAAACCCCTACCGTGTTTCTATCTCACACGGCAGATGTCACATGGAAGACGCAGTAAATTAAAGCTTTTTGTTCCTTGGGCGAGCACGGGCTAATCGCGCCGCAAGCTTCTTCCCCAGCCCTGACAATGTGCCTCAACCCTGACTATGAGGGACCACCTCTGAGGACGAGGAAACAGTTCAATCAACAGCCTATTTATTCTTCAGCGTCTTTGATGAAGTTGCCAAGAAGGGGGTCAATTAGCACCGAGGAGCTGTTGTTGCTGAGCTTTGCCGGGCCAGCGCTCTTCTGCTAGGAAAATGCACTTTTCTTTGCAAGCTGGCCAGCACCCAAGTGCCACAAATGGGGACATCTGGGTAGAAAATCAGGATCTCTCCTCTCGACGCTCAAATACAGCCAACACTCAAAAAAGCTGAAGGGATTTTATTCACCCCTTAAAAGCCCATTTTGATGGGATCAAAAGGCTGTAGGACATCTCAGCTTGCAGTGAGAAGGTCGATTTCATGTATCCCCACAAAACCCTGGTCAATGCAGACAGAGCACACCCTCCCGAGGCCTCAGAAACCAAAGCACAAAATAAAAAAACCAACCAAACAAAAAAAAATAAAATCAGGCCCTGAACAACTTGGCCTGATCTCACAGCTGATGTTCTTGGAGCAGGAGGTTCGACCAGACAACCTCCTGAGGTCCCCTTCCAACTTAAGTCATAGACTCACAGGATAATTGATTATTAAAATAAAAATTTCCTCCTATTTTTAAGCCTGACTCATAACTGCAATGGCTGATGTAGCAGTTGGGGTTGGCAGGGAAATGCAGTGAAGTCGGAGAGGTTTTGGAAGGAAGCAATAACAAAAAAGCTCATTTTTACCAAACAAAAGGGCTGTTCCTCTAAATACAGATTCTCAATCCGTAATATTCATCAGAAGTTTAATAGCTGGGCTCTAAACCCCTATTTAGAAACCTCCTTGCCAGCAAACAACAAAACGCCCAAGCGAGGGCTGAAACACTAACGAGGCTGATACCGAGAGGCAAGAGCTGAGCTCTCACAGAGGTGGCTGGGCAGGGGGACAGGTGACCCCCCACCAGCTGTCACCACCGCAGCTGGGTGGAGAGGTCCCAAGCTCTCCTTCTCCAACCATTATGGGGCCAGCAGCCTCCCCGTCACTGAAGCTCTGCAGAAATGCCACGAACCCTGGCAGCCGTGTCCTACCATGCTCTGAAATGCTACCTTTTGCACAATTTGTGACCTCCAGCGGGGCTACTCACCTCCTTGTTTGGTTGGTGGGTCCCTCACCTCTGGACCTGGCTGAGTACCTACTTACTTTATCCCCATCACGTGCCAAAATGTGGGCACTAGTTAAGCTTGAGTGATGACTAACAGCTCATCAATATGGAAATATCTACCACTGAATGTAAACCGAGCACCAGTGAGCCAGCACACCCACCTCCCCAACAAGATGTGGGCTCTGAGCTGGGACATACGGTGACCAAACAGCTGCAGTCACATCTGTGTGACAACACAGGGTACGTCCCTCCAGCACCGACCCAGAACCACAGGGCCCGGTGCAGTTTGTTAGCAGGCAGAGTCCAGAGACTTACAGCAGAGCTGGACCTTCTCTGTTCTTCTGCCAACCTACAAACCCATCCAACTTCTCACAGTAACAGAGAATACACTTCTTTCACCAGCTGACCCTTGGGACTTGCCTTCCTGAAGGGACCCAACCTTATACCCTGAGGTTCAGACACTCTGTCCCATCTATCTGCAGCTGTAGGGAGTCCATCAAAATAGATCTATAAGGCCTGAAAGTCTCTGAGAAGCCACAAGAGGATTTTTATTCCCCGCCCACCCTGCATAACTGTAAGGTAAAGTGTGAAACAATCCTAGAAAAATGTAAAAGACTTGGGAGAAACAGGACACAGCTCCTTGCACACTGGATGCCTTCAGACAGCGCAGGCTGGCACGCAGCAGCCCAGATCTGCTGACTGAGCGCCCGAGGATTAGCATTTGGAATGATTCACGGCTTCAGGGATAATAAAAGCCTCAAATGGTCCTCCCCCTCCTTCCAGAGTTCATTATCACTTTATCTGCACCAAGGAGCCCGGGCACGTCTCCCCTTGACCTTCAGGATCACTTTCCCAAGCCCTCTGAGACCCAGCCGTTCCCCAGAGGGGACAACTCCAGATAGCAGGAGCGACGGTTTGAATTATTACCTGTTCCTGTTTGGTTTCACAGCGATCACGAGGTGATACAGAAATCACAGGGCAGTCAGCCCCAGCTCCAGAAGTCCAACCGTCTATGCTATCTACCAACCGAACACACCAGTGCTGTATCTGGTGTGTCCATGGTCAGTTCTCATCAGGGCAGGAGGAGGACTCGGCTGTCAGGATGGAGAGGCCCACTCGCATTTAATCTGACCTCTGCTACAGAGGGGGCTTCTTGACTGGTGGTTCTTGGCAGAATTTCAATACATAAACTTAAAACGCCCAGAGTCAATGGGACTGGACGTTTTTGGGAAGAGATTTGTTTATTCCCCAGGAGGAGAATATAGGAAACTCATCTGAAGTATTTTTCCCCACTATGGAGAAGAATCAAAGAAAATCAGCAGATGGACCCTTTCCTTCCCATTCCACCCTCTAAATGGGAGTTTTCACTCTGGCAGATATTGAGCAGAACTTGATCTGGGCAATGTAAATGAAAAATCTACATTGGACCCTCCTCATGGCGAACCTCAGCTTGCATTCTTGCTATTGTCCATATTTAATCTTCTGTCCCAACATGAACAAACGTTGGGCAAGATGCTGTCCCCAGCAGCATGCTCTGCTCATCAGTGCCAGCTCTGTGGAGACGGAAGAGCAGCTTGTCTCTAAAATAACCAACAGCAATATTTAACCACGTACCATACTATGAATAGGAGTTGCCCCATCCAAACTTACTGTCTCCAGCAGCAAACCAGGACCAATCCCATGTGCTTCCCACAACCCACCGATGATACAGTGAAATCTTAGGCATCTTGCTAAAACCCCACCAGAAACCTGGGAAGGAACCAAGCCAGACTATAGTGGCATGCTCTGCCTAAAGCACATTACTGAAAATTAAAGAGACTTACATATTTATGCTCCCACAAAACGCATCTTCACAGCTTGTAATCAAGTGATATGACACTCCCTGCCAGGAAAAGATTTACAGAACTGTGCTAATTAGGACCATTTGTCAATGGCTGCCCAGGGTTTTCCCTGCGCCCACTGTCAAAAACAACTTATGCCTGTTGCTAGCGCAGGTAAGAGCTTAGATGTAATAAGATGTGGTTAATGAGATTAGCATAAAACGTGAAGAGCAATAGACACACCCAGAGCAGCAAAAGCAATACATTGGACTACAACATAAAAGCTTATCAGCCCGCATCATCTTTGTAAATATTAACAACTTGATAAGGATGGGACTTCAGACAACTTTTAACTGACTAAAGTGATGGCAAATGTATGCCTCTGCTGAATCATGTTGATAACACTTTATATGGTAGGAATTTATCACCAGGGAAAGTACATCGTATAGTGATTTTCCTCTGTTCTCGAAGCCTCTTGACCTGACATAAATACTTACTCTTGTGTTGCTCTGTGATCATTGGAATAAATCAACTCCTGGGTCTTTCTGAATGTCATTATTTTATGTTCAGTTAATTCTTGAACTTAATTTTATGCACACCACAGGTAGAATTTAGAGTGGCCTTGTTTTTAAAAAAATACTGACCAACTCCTAAAGTTAACCTGAAAGTTATTTCATGGACACCTGAAAACCAGCAGACACTTCTGAGAATTATAGATAAGATACAAAGAAATGCGGAGCTTCACGGCTAAAGGACGATACGCTATTACCCTGCATCACGAAGATGCTTCAAAACCTTTCCATTGGGATCTTTCTTACTCTGTTCAAGATGATTAGAGCTGGCAAAACAAATAGA